CTTTGCCTTTACCTCCTCCAGTGAAGCAACAGAGCTTTCCTCCACCTGAGGCGGCGGCTTCCTCCCCCACCCCACCTCCACCTCCACCTCCACCTCCTCCCATGGTGCAGCGGGGCTTCCCTCCACCTGAGTAGGCAATGGTGGTGGCAGTGGCTCCCTCCCCACTGCCAGTCCACCCACCTGCCTCCACTTCCTCCTGTGGAGCAGTGGAGCTTCCCTTCACCTGAGGTGGCAGTGGCGGAGGCAGCTCCTCCTGCCTATCTGCCTTCACCTCCTCCCGTGAAGCAGTGGGGCTTTCCTCCACCTGAGGAGGCAGCAGCAGTGGTGTCTCCTCCCTCCCCCCACCCGCCTCCACCTACGTCTCCTCCTGTGGAACAGCGGGCTCCTGCCTCCCTGCCTGAGGAGGTGGAACCCCCACATCCAGTCACTGCTGGCCCTCTCAGCAGCGCATGCGCAGTTGCCCAAAAGTGGTATGGACTTATCAAGAAGATACCACATGATAAAATAATGCAAAGCTCCCATTGATGCTTGCCTCCAATTATTTATTAAAAACCAAACAAACCTGAACTGATAAAATATGAGGTGACTGTCCTTTTATTTAGGAGGTAATAATGGAAGCAGATTCACAAGAATCATATTATTGCCCACAAACCCAATTTATTGTTTCTTCTTCTTATCAACTTCTATTCCGTTTAACATAATGTTTACCTGTTATAATAATGATCTCTAATATGAAGGTGTTTTTCACTAGCTTTCTGTCTTTGCATTGAACAGGTGCCAGTGGTGGCAATCATGACAACAGGAGGAGGGACAAGATCATTTACAGCAATGTTTGGCAGCTTATTGGGTCTACAGAAATTGAATCTCTTAGACTGTATTTCCTACATCAGTGGTTTATCAGGCACCACATGGTGAGGAAGCAGATGCAAGCAGGAACTTGATTTGCTATTAATAATTTATTATTTCTCTAACTGTGTCTGTTTCCATAACACTTTCAGATGAAAAAATTAGTTCCCATATCCTACTCTGTTTTCTCATAGAGCAAAAAGCCACAAGGCAAGTGATTGAATATCACGATGACCAAATGAATACTGTGTTCACCTTAGATTCCAATAGTAATGAGTTCAGTCCCTTGTTAAGAATGTGTACTTATCAAAATGTTTACCACTTTTCCCTAGCAATTGGAGGAAGGAAAAATTCACATTCATGTTGTTAATTTGCCATTCCTTTCCCCACTTTGAGTTCATATTGCACTTTCCCCAGTCAGTAGAAGACTTATTTCACTGACAGTGTTTAAAGTTGATTCATTTTCAGACAGCTCTGAGGAAACATAATGTTTAGGTGACAAACCACTGGATTGATGATGCATTCGGATGCATTATAAATATCTTGGCCATACTATATCCTCTTCTGCTTCATACCTAGGGTTCAACAAATTCAATAATTTCATATTTATAAATATAATTTAAAAGATCAAGTCAGGAAGGACACAATTAGTGCTGCCTATCTCTGCCTTTCCTTAATTCAGACCTTCTGCCGTGTGTGTGTGTGTGTGTGTGTGTGTGTGTGTGTGTGTGTGAATTTTAGATGTGATGTTGGATCTTATATAACACAACATTTTTTGGCAGGCCTGAGTGACATTATTAAAACAAAAGCCATAAGTTCACTTTAAACTAAGTGAAACTTCCATGGTTCCAAATTTTTGGTCTGTTCTAGGGTCACCTGAGCTAAATAAATATTTTGCCATTGACTTGAGTGGAAATTGGACCACGATCGTTATTATAAACCCTAGGTTTTCCCCAATTTAACCAAAGTTCTTTAAACTTTTTGTATCTGGTACTCAGTTTCGATTTCAAGCAGGGGCTTGGAGCACTTGAAGGCTTTCTTTTCTTTTGCCTCGAAATGGGACAAAGCTTGGTAATTCCAATTGAGTTTTGCTGTCAGTTGTGACCTCTCTGTGAATGAAAATTTTGCATAAACCTCTCTGAGTTCAGACCACAAGTTTTTTCATGTCTCTCTCATTGTATAACACCATATCCTTTCCTCAGGACCATGGCAAATTTGTACAAAGATGCTAATTGGTCACAAAAATATCTTGAGGCGGCAATCAGTGAAGCTCGCAAACAAGTCACCAAATCCAAGATGAACTGTTTTTCTACAAATCGTCTGAAATACTATTATAGTGAGCTGAAGGAGAGAGCACAAGAAGGATACAAAACATCTTTTATAGACTTGTGGGGGCTCATCATTGAATCCATGCTGCATGATGAGGTATTGACTATGCCATCTTTTCTGAGCCTCATTGAACTTCTCTAATGAAAAATGAAAAGGAAATCAACCCTAGAAAGAAATGTACATTCACTCTTACTGATTTAAAGAGTTTACTGGGAAAGATGGTTGCAAAAGATTACTGTATATTCAAATATATTTTTTATTTCTTTCCTATTAAAAAAGGTAACAGACTTGTGGTTACCTTGGAATTTCACTGTTTAAGATACTAACATGTCTGCTAGGGCTGTGCAAAACACCATTGTTTTGTTTTGATGCCTGTTTCACCGTTTTGAAGGGACAGTGTTTCGTTTTGTTGTTTCGTTTCGAAGCACTGTCCCATTTTGTTTCATTGAAACTGTTTCAACGTGTTTCTATGTTTCACCCATAGGCTATAATGGGGAATCATGAAAATGCTTAAAATGTTGTCACTTATTGCCTGATTTAGATGAAAATAGCAGGGCTGGTAACCCCTACTGAGGACATGAAGCCTTCCAAGTTTCATGGATATAGGTATAGAGGTTTCTTGGAAGCTGTACTTCAAACTGCAAAAAGCAAAACTCGTGACACTTGCTGGCAGCACCATCATTCTGTCGTCTGGCACACAGATCCAGGGGCCTGCAGCCCTGGGAGGGCTGTGGAGCTGTGCTGGAGTCCTCCCAGGGGTGCAGGCCCCTGGATCTGTGCTGGGTTACAGGAGGCTGCTGCTGCTGCCTGGGACCAGCGCTGGGCGCAGACCACACCCAGCAGTGGGGGAGACTGATACTGCCACTGGCCCCAGGCAGCAGCAGCAGCAGCTGCAGCACCCTCCTGTCATCCAGCATGCAGAACTGGGGACCCGCACCCCTGGGAGGGATGAGGGGCTGTGCTGGACTCCTCCCGGGGATGCAGGCTCCCAGCCCTGCGCCAGATAATAGGAGGCTGCTGCTGCTGTCTGGGACCAGTGCAGGGCACAGCACGTGCCCAGTGCCGGGCTCCATGGAGATCAGCCTGGTGGTGGAAGGCGCGGCACAGCCCTGGCTCTGCCCACCTCCCGCCACTGGGCTGCACTCTGTGGGGCTGTGGGGTCACTCAGAGTGCAGCCCAGTAGCAGGAGGCAGGGAGAGCCAGGGCTGCGCACCACTTCCCACCCTGGGCTGACCTCCCTGGCTCTCCCCTGCCTCCTGCCCCCAGGCTGCTTCGAAACTTGAAACATTTTGAAACATTTTGAGTGCCCTCATTTCATTTCAAAGCTGTTTTGAAGCTTTTTGTTTCATTTCAATTTCACTGCTTTGAGCCTGAATTGTGTCAAAACAGCTTTGAAACGAAATACTCAGAGATATTTTGTGCAGTGCCAATGTCTCGCTTGGGTGGGGGGACATAATTTTCTTTTTCTTTTTTATTTGAGGGAGTATTTCCTACTATTTATTTTGAAATTCCAAAATGCCCATTTCAACATTGCATATTTTCAAACATGTTTCCTCATTTACAAGTGAATTATTGATGCTGTAAAGCTGGCCCAAAGAAGATGACTTATGCATTCTAAACAAATCACTACCACTTGTTCTGCAATATATTTTTATGTATGTGTGTTTATATTGTGTCTTATTTTTAGGCTTTCTATGTTATAATTATAGCCAGTTGAATGGGTGAAAAGATCAGTTCTTGAATATATTTTTCTATGAATTTTGTTGGCGTTAATTTGCTAATTAAGTTGTATATTTGCCCTATGGTATTTGACCTGGTATAAAACTAGTTGAATTCTCTAAAACGAACAACCAAATGCCTGTCTGGCAAACAAATTACAAAAATTGATAACATTGTCAAATAATATAATTCACCAGATCATCTCAGTAACGTAACTATGGTGGGGAGTCTGGGGCAGTAGCCTTGGGCGTTATCTTGGGGGGGAAGGGGACCAGAAGAATAACAGCTGCTGCTGCAGCTGTGAAGCTGTGCTGGCAGCCAGAAGTCTTGGTTGCCCCATGTGTCACTGCTCCCCCAAGTGCCCAGATGCCCTGTTACACCTCTGGCTCATCTTGTTTTATATACCTATTTAAAAAATATTAGAAGACCTTGAGAAGCAAGGAACAATTGTATTAAACATTATGGTGTTGTATTAGTAACACTGTAACAATTTTTAAAGAGAGATTCTTATGTAGTATAGTTTTCTGTTTAAACTTTTCTGAAAATCATTCCCCTTTTGGGGAAAATTTCTCATGCTTTCACTTAACAAAGAAAATAATTGTGTGAAAAAATTGGCAAATGTATATGGACATTTTGAGCTAGCGAAATATGAAAATGGATTTTTTCCTCCTACTGGTTACTTTTTTGTGATGCAATATCTAGCAGTTTTTAAAAACTGAAGTCAAATTCCATGTAGAAGTAGTGCTGTTAAGAAGGCTGAAGATATTTTATTTAGAAAAAAACAGTATTTGAAAATAGAATCAATTAGACTTTTTCTTACTAATTTCTTTGACAAGGTGAGGCATTTTGAGTCCTCCCATCCAAAATAACATAATGCAGGCCTAAATGTGTACATATTTGGAGAAGTCTATATTAAAATAGCATAAATTGTCTTAACATGAACTGCTTTAGTCCCTGCCACACCCTTCTTAATAACTTGTAACTATCATAGAGTGGGTACTGTTCATGAGACACAGGGATATTCCTAAATATTTATTTGTGCATAGTCTAGTGGGCTGAAAAAGGAAAACTTGGCTGAAGTTCAGCTGTCACATTATATTATTTGAATTGCAGATCCATTTTTTCCCATGTGTCATTTTTCTTTAAAACTAGAAAGACAACCATAAGCTCTCAGACCAGCATCAGGCAGTGAATGATGGGCAGAACCCGCTGCCCATCTATGTGGCCATCAACCTCAAGGACAAGTATAGTGCTCAAGATTTTAAAGGTAATGACAGTATTCTAGAGTTATATGTAATGTGTGATCTAAGAAGACTTGACTAATATTTATGGCTGCTTGAAGATGTTAAAAACACAAACAAAAAAACCATGTCTTACTGGCAGAAGCAGTGGGTTACTTCAACCCAGCTCTGCAATGCCTGTAAAGATTAGGCACTTTATCGGGGCGTTTTGGCAGTTTTAGCTGGGAGAGGTTACATCTGCAAGCACCCTATGGGCATGTGCAGATGAGCATGCACGTGCCTCTTGCAGCATTTGAAACCCATTTGAGACACTGCAAGATTCACGTGCAGGAACAAAGAAATGTTCTCCATGCTGCGTATTTGCAGCATGGGGGCCAATATTGGTACCTGGATATTGTCTGGATGCACCCTATGTGTTTAATTAGCTCTGACCACATAACCCTTTTTAAAATTCAAAGACCTATGGATACCATTTTTAAAAAGATTATAAACATTTTTGTTTGTTGCTTAGACACTTTGGAGTCCTAGGTGGTGCCAGGAGTGAAAGTTCAGTGATATCATAGGGTTGTGATGCTCAGCCTTTTCTGACAAGTAGGCCAAACCTTAAAATCAGAAATGGTCTGATGGCTGCATAGAAAAGCACTGCTAGAGCCCATGATCTACAGAATAAGATGCCATGCTTGTTTCAAACATAACAGTTCTTACTTACAGTGTTTTGCATCAATACATGCATGAAAACATGGTTTAGAGAAAGTTATAGCTATTTACTTGAGTTATAATAAAGGAAAAAATTAAGTGGGCTCTGAATTTAGTGACAGGGGAGAAAAGGGGATGATCAGTGATGGCATTCACCCCTTGGGCTCTGGAGCCAAGTCAAGTTCATGGTTCATGGGAAAAGAGGGGCAAGCGGTGGTGGGATTCATCCCCCAGGCTCTAGAGGCAAGTCAAGGGCATGGTCCATGCTTCATCCTGACCACAAAAGCACTAGAAATCTTTTAACAAAAACAAATCTCATGAGATTTCTAGACACATTTTGTAGACTAAAGAAGTTGAGAGAACCTACAGATAAATCTTGAACTTTGGAGGTACAGAGCCAGGCTCATCAGAATTTTATCTATCATTAGCTTAACACCAGTTGATAAATGGGTACAGTCAAGAGCAGAAGAAACCAAGTAATGCATTATGCTCCCAGTCACTACTGGTTTAGTGGGCATAACTCTCAATCTGAACAGTGTAAAACTAGAGGGGCAAAATAGTTTATTGCTTAATGCTGTATAGGGCTTTCCCCCTACAGACTACCTCCATTGTTGCTGGGTAGGAGCAGTCTCTGTTGTAAGAGGAACACTTATTCTCCAAGTTAATTAGTATTGCATGCAGTGACAGAATTTGCAACTTCTGTTTCAGCACTGAAAGATTTACAAGCTCTGTTTCGGCACTGAGAAATGGATACTAGAAGGACTATTTCCCTTGATTCTTCCCAGTCCTCTGAAAATTCAGTTCTTTTGCCCATAGTCAGGACGCTTAACTATGCAGTGAGAATCTTTGGGGTTTTTTGCTCTCCCTACAGAATGGCTGGAGTTCACACCCTATGAGGTTGGATTCTTGAAATATGGAGCATCTGTTCGCTCAGAAGATTTTGGAAGTGAATTTTTCATGGGAAGACTGATAAAGAAACTTCCAGAAACCCGGATCTGCTACATGCAAGGTGACTATTGTCTAGCAGGGGTCAGCAACCTATGGCCTACAGGCCAGATCCAGCCTGTGGAGCCAGAGGGCTTCTGTGGCATTTCAGCAATGGAGAGCTTCTGAGGGACACTGGCAGGGGGGGATTTGCTTGTCTGATGGACATACATTAGGGAGAAGCAACCATGGTGGCACTGCCAGGAAACAGCAGTGACTGCGGGACTGCCAATGGCAGCACAGGCTGGGTTGGAAGTGGCCCATGCCTAGAGTTAAGCGCTGTTAAAGCAGTTGCCCATTCCAAAACATTGCTAGCCCCTCAACTAGAAAAAACATTAATATAATAAGAACACATCTGGCTGAATAACTAGGCAATGGTGAGCAACTGACCTCTGACTGGCAGCACTGAGACAAAAAACACTTTTCAAAATACGTATGTCTGGTTCCTTGGATGGGTCACTGGGAGATGATGCTTCTTTATGTGAACTTAAATTGTCCTTGTATAACTGTATTAGTTGTGTACTTGGTTTCACTGTACTAAGAAAATAGGCAGCCGGTAATGTCAAATATAAAACAACTGCTAGATTCTATACCCCTTTGTCAGAGCTGATTTGCACTGCTGTTTGCTACCCTGTGGGCATGTTTATACATTCATTAATGCGCTATATTATGACGCATTAGGTTTAGTACCTGTAATTACAGGTACTACCTTGATGTGCTATAATTGGCGCTACTGCGTATTAGTGCTGGTGCATGCTTTTTTGGTGATGCTAATGCACAGTAGACTAATTCTACTGTGCATTAGCTTGTTTATTTCCTGCCATGCTAATGCGCAGGAGAATCAGTCTATTGTGCTCAAAGTGTCTCATGCAGATGCATCTTGTATGCCCCAAGTATCCAATATTCAGTCATTTTCAGCATGGTCCTGCTGATAACTGCTTTATAAAAAAGGTTCAAAAGATAATTATATTTGTTACAAAGCACTTGACAATGCAGGAGGTCATCTAGTCCTTCCTCCCTTTCCTTAAGGCACTATCATTCCAGAATCATTGATTCCAGACAATGCTGACACATATTGGCTTAATGTTTTCTTGTACCTCCATCTTATTTCTATTTGTGTCCATCTGGTTGTTCCTTGGTTGTAAGCTCTTTGGAGCAGATATCACCTTTCTGCTCAATGGTTGGACAGCACTTAGTCAAATAGAGTCCTTGTCCATGACTAAGGCTGCTAGATGCTATTGTGATGGAAATAGTTATACTTTTCAGGTGGACTTTGAAGAAGTTGCAAAGTTCAGGTGGGAAGGTATGTGAAACCTGCCACCTTCCACTTGTTTAATATTTTAACATTTTCTTTGGTTCACATTACTTGGAACTACAGTTAAACTTTAACAGTACAGCTGAGGTATTTGTAGCACAGATTCAAATAGACCCTGATTTTGTAAGCAACTTCACTGTAGAACTAGTAAGTGGGAATATCCAGGCAGGTGCAGTAGAAGATATATATATTTGCACTTGTGAGGATGCATTTGGGAACTAGTCTGCAGGACAATAATAAAAATTGGAAGGAAATATTGAAGAGGAAAGACAAAAGGCAGTTTTCAATTAAAAAGTTTCCATGATTTTCCAGAATTAGTTTTCATCGATTATCATTCCACTTTGCAGGCATGTGGAGTAGTATTTTTTCTGTGGATGTGATGTATTTCTGGAATCTGGCTGGTAATTCAGAGGACTTCTGGAACAAATGGACTAGAGACAGAGTAAAAGATATCGGTAAGTTTTTCTTTTTTTATCTCCCTAACTCTTTTTTTAAAAACATTGTTTCATAATTGATGTTCCATACCACCCTGACCTACAAATACAGCATATTCCTCTTGAAGCTTCAAAAAGAAAACCTTACTACACAGACACCATGGTCAAAGAGGGAAGGCCAAAAAGAGAAAACAGAATCATATATGTTTGTGAGGTTGTGTGTACTTGAAATCTGCTCTGTGGGAAGACATAGGCCTTCAAGAAGCATAAGGAGACTTCTCATCTTTGAAATAAAATGCTACAGATGATTCCTGTGGTCAGCTGGCAAGACCATGTAAAAAATGAGATGGTCAGGAAAAGGATTTATATGAATGACACAGTTGTTGCTTAGTAATGAGGAAACCCCCCCAGCTGTTTGTATGTATTTGCCAAGTGAAGGATGACTGGCTACTAAAGATCATGCTCTTTGATCTGGTAGAAGGCGGCAGGCCAACAGGCAGACCACACAGGAAGTGACGAGATGACATAATACAAATTTGGGGAAAGGTTCTAAAGATTCTATAAGCCCAAGTTCAAGATATCACTGTGGAATAGATAGAGGACAACACGAATAGTAGGGCTGTGTGAAATTTCACTGGTTGTTTCGTTTTGACACTGTTTCAACTCATTTTGAGCTCAAAACAGCTAAATCGAATTGAAATGAAGGGCTTTGAAACAGCCTCGAAACAAAACGAGGCTAGTTGAAATATTTCAAAAGTTTTGAAATGTTTTGAGTTTCGAAGCCGGCAGCAGCCTGGTGGTGGGAGACGGGGGAGAACGAGGGCTGCGCTCCCAGTAGCTCCGCAGCCCCATGTGGCTTAGCCAGGAGCGCAGCCCTGGCTTTCCCCATTTCCCGTGGCAGGGTTGTGGGAAGCCGATCATAGCACAGGGGAAGGGAACTGAGCCCAGGCTCAGTTCCCATCCCTGGTGCTGCAGCTGGACTGGGGAAGGGAATGGAGCCCAATTACTCAGTTCCCCTCCACAGCCCTACTATTGGGCTGGGGAAGGCAACTCAGCCCAGCTGAGCTGAGTTCATCTTCCCGACACTATGATTGATCAGGCTGGGGAAAGGAACTCAGCTGGGCTGAGTTCCTTTCTCTGGCCTGATGGTAGCGCTGGGGAGGGGAACTCAGTAGGGCTGTGCAAAATTTCACTGGCAGTTTTGTTTCAACTAGTTTCGAGCTTGAAACAGTGAAATCAAAATGAAACAGAGAGCTTCGAAACAGCCTCAAAACAAAACGAGGCAAGTTGAAATGTTTGGAAAATTTTTTAATGTTTCAAGTTTTGAAGCTCAAGCTGTGCTTGCCTGCAGGGACACAGAAACTAAAGTAAGGAGAGAGAGGGGGAAGGGAGGGGAAGGAGTGCTCTCACATTGACTGTGTAGCTGGCCAGTGACTGTCACCCTTCCCTGAGGTCCCTTCCAATCCCAGTGCTCTGGGGGAGGGATGGAAAAACTGCATAAAAAGCAGCATTGTTTGAACTACCTTGTTTTCTGCCTTGCTGTCAGTTACTGAGCTGTGTTGCAGTTTTGCCTGTCAGCAGCTAGAGGTGCAGGGCCCCAAAACCCAGACTCACCCTGCACCTATCTCTTTGACAGTTGGCAGACTTCGTGGCCACCACAGGGCCTAGCAGGCCTGCAGTTTTCACCCTCCTGTATCCCAAGACAGACACAGTCCCACAAGTACGCATAACACGAGTTTTGTCCGTCAGCAGCCAGAGGTGCAGGGCCCCAGAACCCAGAAGCCCCTGTACCTTTCTTCTTGAAAACTGACATGCTTTGTGGCCTCAGCAGGGGCTAGCAGGCCTGCAGGTGTCACCCTGCAGCGCCTTAACACACACAGTGTCACCCATGCCACAAGTTTTGCTTGTCCACAGCTTGAGGTGCAGTTTCCCCCAAACCCCTGCACCCATCTCCTTGAAACTTGGAAGGCTTTGTGGTCTCAGCAGTGGCTAGCAAGCCTGCAGTTTTGACCCTGCTGTGGGTTAACATGTACATGTGACATGAGTTTTGCTTTCAAGACTTTGAGGTGCAATTTCCCTGAAACCCCTAAAACTATTTCCTTGAAACTTGGCAGGCTTCTTGATCTCATAAGAGACTTTCATTTCTGCAAGGTTCATCCAAATCAGGGCAGAAGTTATAGCCTGTTTTGAGCTTCCCCATTATAGCATATGGGCGAAATGTCAAAACAGCAAAACTGTTTTGACAAAATGAAATGGAACAGCGGTTTCAAATTAAAACAAAATTTGAAACAAAATGCTGTTCCATCGAAACATTGAAATGCTGGTCAAAATGGAAGTGCCGCTTCGCACGGCCCTAGAACTCAGCCAGCTGGGATGAGTTGCCTTCCTCAGCCCGATTGATCAGAGCCCTGGGGAGGGGAAATGAGCGATCAGGCTCAGTTCCCTTCCCAAGCTCCCCAGTCCCAGGCAGCAGCACCTGGTTTCCCTCCCTCATCTGGCAGGCCTGCAACCCTGGGAGGACTGGCACAGTCCCTGCAGCCCTCCTGGGGGTTGCGGGCCCCTGATCTGTCTGCCAGAAGAGAGAGGCTGTTTCGAGCTTCCCTATTATAGCCTGTGGGTGAAATGTCAGAACAGTATCACTGTTTCGATGAAACAAAACAGAACAGCGGTTTTGAATTGAAAGAAATTAGAAATGAAACACTCTTCCATCAAAACCTCAAAACTCAAGATGAAATGGAACAGAACGGTGCCATTTTGTAGCTTATATGTTGTTAGGCTAAGGGTCAGAAAAAGGAAGACAGGAGAAACTTTGCCTTGAGCAAGAAGGTAGGAAGCACATTATATATATATAATGACTTGGAGATTGCTTAACAAATATATTCATTTGTTGAGCAGTCTCAATGCTCAACACATATATATATATCTGTATATATCTGTTAGGGCTGTGCGAAATTTTGCCAGCTGTTTCATTTCAATGCTATTTTGACTTGTTATGAGCTTGAAACAGCAAAATTGAAACAAAATGAAGGGGTTTGGAACAGCTTTGAAATTAAACAAGGGCAGTCAAAACGTTTTGAAAGTTTTGAAATGTTTCGAGCTGGGCTTGCTTGCAGGGAAACAAAATAAGGAGAGGGAGGGGGAAGAGCGGGGAAGGACTGCTCTGATTTTGACTGTGTAGCTGGCAGATGATTCCACATACATTATCTGACTGTGCTGCTGAGCTAAAACCAGCTGGGGCAAGGGAACAAAACACATGAGCACCACAGGGATGCTGAAGCATCTCCACAGGCACCACACCCATGCCCTTGCTCCTCCCCAGCCTGACACCAGTGGGAGTGTGCCCAAAAGGGAGTCCTCCTCTTGCTCCAAAGCCCCTGTCCCCGCAAAGCAGTGGCAGGCCACCCTGGAACAGTGGTGGAAAGATGGACAGAAATTGGGGAGCGTTGCAAAGGCAAGCGAGATCACCCAGAGCACTGGGGAGATGCTTGCTGTGGATGGCCAGCCCTTCTCCTTAGTTGAGCGCCCAGGATTCAGATGGCTTATGGTGCTCGTGGCCCCATCATACCAAGTGCCCACATGCACCACCTTCAGCAGGACAGTGGTGCCCTTCCTGTATGAGGCATTCATACTTCAGGGAGGAGCTGCACAAGGCAGGTCCGAGGGTAGCTTTACACTTCACCTTGGACAAGTGGATCAGCCAGGGTGAATATCATGCATACCTCTCCCTCAGAGGGCACTGGTGCAACCAGTCAGGCCATCAGTGGGCTCTCCTTCAAGCTGAGGTGTTGGATGAGTCCCACACGGCAACAGAGATCATGGGGGCCATGAACCTGTTGGTGCAGGGATGGCTCATTGGGCAAAGCGAACTCACCTGCAGGTTCACAGTCACCAACAACGGGGCCACTATAGTCAAGAAGGTCCATGATGCAAACTTTGTTGGCATCTGCTATGTGGCACACAAGTTCCACCTCATTGTCAGGGACACTTTGGAGTAGGTCAGGGCTGCCAGTGATGGCGCCAGCACCACCTGCAAGCTCATTTTCAAATGCAGGTAGGTGGCAGGCTAGTTCCACCAGAGCATCAAGGGAAGCAAGATGCTGTGGGACAAACAAGCAGAAATGAACATCCCGCAGCACAAAATCAAGCAGAATGTGGAGACTTGATGGAACTCCAAATACCTGATGGCTGAGAGGCTGGTGGAGCAACAGAAGGACATCCATGAGATGGCCTTGCTCAGGGAGATTGGGATCAGCAGCCCCCTTAACAGAGCTGAGTGGGGTACCATCTCCCAGATCTTGGTGGTCCTCAAGCCCTTCCTTGAGGCTACTGAGACTCTCAGTGCTGCCAATGCCCTCCTTAGCCAGATGATCCCCCCAGTGAGGGAACTAGAGAACCAAGTGGAAAAATTTCAGGGGATCAGTGTTCCTGGCTGAGGCAAGCTGCTGTCACCAGACATGCAGGAGCTGGTGAGGTGGCTGAAGGAGGGCATCAGGAAATGTCTTGATCCAATGCGGTCCAGTATAGTCAATATGCTAGCTGCCATGTGTGACCCAAGAGTGAAGGGGAGTGTATGCAGCAGCCACAGCCTGAATCAGTGGACGGAGGTGCTAGTGAAGAGAGTTAGGGGGGCAGAATGGCGGAGGTGGGGGGATGTGGAAGAGGGTGATCCACTATCCTGTGCTAGCACATTATCCAACAGCCAGTCTCCTCCTCCATCACAGGTGCTGCCAATGTGAGCCAAGGGCATGGCTTCCATGATGGTGTCCAGAGGCACCAGACCCCACCATCAGGCAGGTAGCGCTCAGGCCTGGGTGGCTGCCAATCTTGCTGAGGATGTGGAGCTGCTGCTGTGCCACAGCCAGATGTGGCCGGATCTGGCCACAGTTGCCCAGGAACACCTGTTCTGTCCACCGGCCAGTTTTCCAAGTGAGAGGAAATTCAGCATTGCTGGTGATGTAATGATACCCCACTGCACCTCCTTGGATCCTAGTTTGGTGTGAAGCAGTTGGTGTTCTTCAAGGTGAACCTCCCACTGCTGGGGTTCCCCAAACTTCAGGTACAGATGCAATGAGTGCCACCCTTCTCACTTCATCCACACCTATTTCCTTTTTTCATTTTTAAATAAAGCATTTAATGCCCTGCTCTCAGAGCTGGAGGCGGCACTCACTGCATCACCAGCCAGCACGGGAAGAACATATTCCTGCTGAGCCTCCCATGCCAGGACAAACTTGGAGGTATGAGCCGGGGTTATGGGGAAGGAGGAGGCCCCTGGTCCTGGGCATGACCACTACAACTGCACCCTGCCAGGTTTGGGAGGCCTGGTGGGACTGCTGGTAGCCAGCCCCAGGAAATGCCAGGATTGAGGATCTCCTTGGTGAAAGGCGGGTAGGAGGTGCCATAACCATCCAGCAGGTTGTAGTGTGTCAGCATTCCAATGTCTATATTGTGTCCATGAGTTTCTGTACCTAGGAGGTTGATGAAGTACAGTTCATAGGCTTGTCTGTGAAAAGTGGTTTGTAAATTCCCTTTAAGGATTAGGCCTGAGAGATTGGAGACAGGTGGTGTTCTGTTCTTGTCTTTGATACATTTTAGGTGTGCGCTTACTTTGGTGCACAGTTGTTGCTTGGTGTCTCCTATGTATTTTCCATCAGGGCACTTTGTGTAGGAAGTTGGCTTCTGGTGATGAGGTTAGTGAGGTGTTCAGTCCTTGTTTGGATTTACAAACCACTTTTCACAGATAAGCCTATGAGCTTCACTACACACTACAACCTGCCGGACAGCTGACTCCCCAGGTACCTCACCACTTTTACCTATGCTGCTGCATCCCCCTCCCCGCACCTTACCCCAGACTGTCCCTCATCCCGTGAAGCATCCATTTCCATTTTCACTGACTGGCTTTCTTGACTGCATTGCATGCCAGTCTCTGGCTTCTTTACTATTCCTTCCATCCAGGAACAGCACACAGATGCACCAACTGCAGGTACTTCCTTAAACCTGATGAGGGTTTTTTCAACCCAAAAGCTTGCTAAGATACATTTCTCTAACTATTCAGCTGGTCTACTAAAAGATACCAGATTGACCCAAAGAACCTTGTCTGCCAGTGCCATGTTCTTAGATCAACACCCCTAGCACCTGTCCCTGGTCAGCTGACTGGACGGATGCGGGGCCCTGGGCACATCTAAGCCCCAGGGCTGGGGCTGGCAGGGAGAGTCCTCTGGCGGCTGCTGGAGAAGCTCCTGCAGGAAAGGAAAGAAATGCTCTGTGACAGTTCGGCTGCCTGAGATGCTGGTAGTGCTACTGTGCTGCTTACTTATCTGTTGTTATTTGAAGTGGTGGACCAGGATGAGGCTGTAGGGGAGGAGAAGGCCTCATTGGGGAACACTACTGTGTTGTGTAGAGGCCCCAGCGCCAGTGAGGGCTCACCTTAACATGCACACAAAGTCACACATGTCACAAGTTTTGCTTGTCAGCACCTTGAGGTGCAGTTTACCAGAAACCCTTGTACCTAGCTCTTTGAAGCCTGGCAGGCTTCATGTCTTCAGCAGGGGCTAGCATGCATGCAGTTATCACCCCTCTGTGCCTTCACAGTTACAAGTGGCATGAGTTTTGCTCTGAACAGTTTGAGGTGCAGTTTCCCAGAAACTCCTGCACCTATCTCCTTGAAACTTGACAGGCATTGTGGCCGCACCAGGGGCTACATTTCCTGCTGTTTTCATTCAAATCAGACGAGAAATGACAAAGTTATAGGCAGTTTCATGATTCCCCATTATAGCCTATGGGTAAAATGCCAAAACAGTAAAACAGTTTTGATGAAACAAAATGGAACAGTGCTTCAAAATGAAACTAAACTCAGAACAAAACATTGTTCCACCGAAATGGTGAAACAGAAGTTGAAATGAAACAGTGCTGTTTTGCACAGCCCTAATATCTATAACTCTATCTATTTATAATTTGTTGTTTGTTGAGCAATCTCCAAGTCATTGTCTCAAAAGTCCTGAAGTCAGTGTGGCCTTTGTAGATGGCCCATGACTCTACATGCTCTCTCCTGCCCTCTATGGCAAATTATCAGAGGCAAGGTAGCATTCTGGGAAATTCTGAAATGTTAGGCTTTGATGATGATCTTAATGCTCTGTTTGTGTGAGGTTGTTTACTATTTTATTTTGATTTTGGAGTTTGTGATCATCCAGCCTTAAGTGCATATAGGTACTCTTCTTTACATTTTGGAGGAGGCCATAAGTTCAGATCATTAGAAACTGCATGATTATTTTGATTATTTAATTTATTGCTGTAGAGAACAACCAAAAGTGATTTAGATTAAAACAGAATTTTCATGTTTCTTTCTCCCTCCTGCAGAAGACGATCCTGTTCCATCTACCAACCCTCATGAGCTGGAGACACGTCTGTTTACTTCTGCAGGCCCCCTGTCTGATACCCTCCGAGATGTCTTAACTGGGCGCCCAACAGTTGCAGAATACCCGAACTTCCTAAGGGGATTCCAGATGGACAAAGATTACTTGGCAAATGAACAATTTTCTACATGGAAAGGTACAGTAATAAAGCATTATTTTTGGTAGCACATTTTGAGGTAATGTGGGCTTGGAGAGCTGTATGATGTAGAGGAGAAGATGTTAATTTCTTTTTCTACCTCCCCTTACACACGCCATCATTTAAGGCTTATTTTGGACTGTATGGGGCTAGAATGATTTTAGTGGATTTCGTTTTGGTCAGGTTGCATATTGCCAAGCATAAGAGCCTCAGGGTGGAGGAGGGCCAAGATGGGAAGACAGGGGAAAATTCTCTTTGAAACTGAAACAGTGTGAGAAGTTCAGGAAGGGAAAGTATATAAACAACTGTGATGTCATTTATTTCTTTAAGTTAAGACTCAGTGACAAATGTGGTGTCAATAAATGAAGGAAAGAAAGGGGTGGGAGCAGAATTCCTTTTTTCTCCTTGATCCTTTCCTTTTATTGGGGATTAAGCCGAATTGTTTATGCAGTAGTTATAATGAGAAATGTTTCCATTTCAGACACTGTATTAGACTGCTACCCAAACAAACTGATGGAAACAGCAGAGAATACACTTTCACTGGCAGATGCTGGATTTTTCATCAATAACAGCTATCCTCCACTTCTGAGATCACAGAGGAAAGTGGATGTAATCCTGCATTTAAGTTACAATGGAGGATCACAGACATTGGTGAGTGTGATCTAATTATCCTTTAGGGTTTTTTGTTTTTTTTCTATTTTGGCCTTTTCTCTTTAACCCTTTAGGATTTAGCAGTTAAAAACTATTGACTTCTCACTATTGGAAGAAGAAATTGATACCAGAAAAATTAATACGAGACTTATTTTCAGCAGCATGATTCCTTGTTTCAGCAATGGTGACCTACAATTTTTATTTAATTAAGCTATCTGTGTTTCTTTCTCTTTATTAAAATTCTTCAAACTGACAATGGATCATCTGACAAGAAGAAATCTATGGTCAGTACAGTTTGCAACATACACAATGA